CTTTCGTTTTACAGGTACAGAGTTCAAAGGAAGTTTATTGAATGATGATCGTAGTGCCGCTGGATATTGTTTATGTAGCTGTGCAGAGCGTTTCTAAAGAAGGACCTCCAGCACCGTTAACATTAAAGACATGAAATGCATATTTTTGTATTATGAATTATACCACCATTCAGAGTGCTGAGTCATATTGAGGATTTGGTTGGAAATTAGTATAGAATAATATCGGTGTCTCAGGTATAGCCTCATCTGAATGAGCAATGTGTTTTTCAAAGCTATAATTGAATATAAAATCCCATAATCTGTCAGTATGACGTCTATGAAGTTCATTTTAATAGCATGCTTACATAGCTTCCACTGTAACTCTTACAGTTAGTTGATCGGCAGGTTGTGTGCGGTGGGGTGAAGTGTGGGCACTCCCACCTCTTCCAGGACATCTGGCCAGTGTTGAACAGTCGACCAAAATACCCTCCAGAAGTGTTCTCTCGAGTGGGAAAGCCCTTCTGCCATCAGTGGCATGAACACCTTCGATTAGCACCGTTAGCTACGTACGGTTCAAAATAAGTTCAACGAGCATTTGCAGGGCTTCACCTTTACCTTTCGGATTATGGAATCCACTAATGTATTACGTATTTTGTTTTTTATTCATTGCGACTCTTATAACACCACCCTGGTTTCAGGGTTCAGCGTTGAGCACGGAACACAATTATTGCACAGTTCACAATACCTTTGCAATGGGTTTCAAGAAGGAATGGTAACTTGATGAAATAATTGTCACCCAAGGAAAGTACATTATTGCCGCTGGTGAAGTTTGCTGCTTGCTTTGGAGGTTTGTTTTCCCTTAGCTCTCAACAGAATCCCCATGCTGCCCTTTTCTATGTACTTCCCGGTGAGCCTTTGGGTGCTGAGTGAACAAATCTCACATACAGTCCTGGGTACTTTGACTTCAGGGTGTCTGAGCACGACTCTTCAGAATCATCACAGCCACTCACCTTGCCTATCCTGCATTTTCAGTTGCTGTTGCCATTGAACATCTGCCCAACTTACACTGTTATTCCTCTACCGTACCGTGCTGCCTGTACACAGCTGAAACCGACTTCTCATATGCATGTTGCAGAATTTGACTCCAAATCTAGATTTGAAGTTTTCGTGCCTGCAGGGATCCATACTCTTTGGTTCTTTCGGTAAAGTTACGTAGGTATAAAACAAAATGAATTAAATCACAACGTTTCAAATGTTGTCTGCCCGTTATTAACACACACACACACACAAGTACTCCGCAGGAGGATGGTTGCAGGCAGCAGCGTATGGCCATTGTTGGAGGAAATTCACAGCCTGAAGCCCCAAACCAAAAACCCGCACCTGGCTTTGTCAGTTTGTTACACAATCTCAGTCGACCAACAACCCTGCCTTCACTGATATAGGGTACTATTTATTATGTTGTTTTCCCATCAGTTGTAGTCGATATGCACGTGCATTTAACATGTTTACCACTGTACTGTATTAGATATGTCCGACGTATAGTCCTTTATTTCTAGCCTTGTGCGAGCCCGTTCAAATTAAAACTCTAAATGTTAACAAAGATTGGCAAATGGTTGAAATCAGAGGTAAATAGGATGCCTACTGAAGGTTTCTAGGTGGTTCTCAGAGGTCAGTGTGCTGTGCTGGTACCACTAAGATCAACTCCGTGTGTAAGCCACCTAGGATTAAACCGGTTCTCAAGCAATCACGTTAAATTTGAATTTCGATTTAAAGCTTTTGTGACTGCAGGGATTCATCTTCTTGGTTCTTTCGGTAAAGTCACGTAGAAGGGAAATAATAAAATAATAAAATAAAACATTATTAAATAATTCTCACGACGTTTCGGCCACAACGCAAGCAGATTGGTGTTCATTCAGACACTGTCTTTCCGACAGACCTGTTCTTCACCTGAGGACGACTGCTTGTGTTGTGGCCTAAACGTCGTGATAATTCTTTTATTATGTTTTAATTTTTTATTTCCCTTCTACGTGACTTTACCGAAAGAACCAAGAAGACGTTAAATTTGATCGAGATATTTTACTTAATTTGGCTAAATTCCAGCTCTGAAAATATCAGTCGAATTGTCATGCGACAAACACCCACCGCAAGAGAAGTGTTATGGGAAGGTATGCACCCGACTGTGTAAATTATTGGATGGACAAGGGTCACACTGCTCTGCAATATTTCCAAATGGATTCACTGTCACAGCACAAGACATCGATAGCACACTGGAATGTAAAATTGGGGAAAAGTTACGATTAAAAAAAGCATTAAAAAATTTTAGATTTTTTTTTCTTCCATAGCATGTATTTATAAGGAAATTCATTTGAGTGGGTTTGTAAAGTTTATTCTATCAGCTGGGTTGGTGATTCAGCACGTTTAATTAGGAACTAAATAGATTTTTGGAGCAGAGAGAATACATGTAAATGTGTTCCCGACCTCTTGGAAGTAAAATAAATAATTATTTTTTCATTTAATGAGTTTCCCAATCTTTATCACCAATGAAATAACAATATATAATATTAACAATGAATAACAATATATAATGTTAACAATGAATAACAATATATAATATTAACAATGAAATAACAATAGAAAATATTAACAATGAAATAACAATATAAATATTAACAATGAAATAACAATATAAATATTAACAATGAAATAACAATATATAATATTAACAATGAAATAAATAGCTACAGAACAAAATATACTGAAATAAAATGGTTTAGATTTAAGACAATGTGAAGAAATTTGAAACTTTAGTTCATGCAGCGATATAAACATTAGTAATGTTTGTACTTGCTGTTTCAATTTATTTTATTTGAGATATTTGCACTTTTCTCCCATCCGTCCCCCAGGACTGTTTTGTATGCTACATCTACCGGAGAAAATTATATATTATTTTAGTTTTTCAATAAAAAAAAAACGAATTGCAAGAAACTCAGAAAAAACTACCACTGAAATTTATATGCCATTTAAATTATAAAGTTTTAAACTGTATAATGATGTGGAATGCAATAAAACAGTTCCTGAATAAATAATTACGGTACAAAACTTTATCTTCACTTTGCATTTAAAATATTCGCAATATTAATATATATAATTACAGTACAGTAATGTAATTCGCAATTTAGCAAAATGCCTATGACGAAAACTCCCATGATACACCAATGCCATCATATTTCAGAAACTAAGTAGCATTGAACCGGGATAATGCTTGAATGGGTGACCACCATACATTAAAAGACTAGTGCCGTTAGAGTTGTGGGCATTAAAGTGCAGTGCAGCAAAATCCATTGTGCCTCTAAACTCCCCACCACCTTTGCACTGCACTGACCACACCAGGCATAGGGGAAGCCCTCATTTACACAACGGGCTGTCACACGTGATACGTGCTCGAGCGTAATACTATCACACACAAGTTAATATATAATGTCAGCGATATTGGCCTTTCTTGATAAGTGGAATCACTCCAGCACGTCGAACTCGAGCAGCTACGTTGAGTGTTTTGCCAAAACGTAACTTCATTAAGCTTGCCGCACCTTGTCAGCACTCAGCGGCTCTCTTAAATTGTTATACATCCGTAAATAATGGGGGGCTGTAATGAGGATATAATAGATTGTGCCGGCAATGAGAATAAGGTAGGATGTGAATTGAATAAGTATAACCTAACAACCTCCCAAAGGTGATTAGTTAATTGGTAACAAGCAGTAGGTCAGTCAGGAACACAACATAGCATCCTGATTGAGGTGCCATAGCTGTTTATTATTGAATGTTGTGTTTCTAAACAACCTCAGGCCATGGAAGCATAGTTTCATCCCCTCTATACTGTGCACGTGATTTGCTCGCCTGACCTGTTCACATGCTGCCTGCCCTTAGTGCAGGTCCACCTTGATGTTTGTTGGGAATAAGTCTTAATTTAGGCAATGGGATTATCTCACAGCAACGAAATCTCAATACAGTAAATAGAAGATAGAATTATACAACAGCTCCAGAGTAGAAGTTACATTTGGCTGGTATTGCATTGACCAAATGATAAGTGTATGTACTGTATATCAGGGGTCCCCAAACCCCGGGCCGTGGACCGGCACCGGTCCGTGGCCTGTTAGGAACCGGGCCGCACAGCAGGAGGTTAGCTGTGAGTCCGCGCGTGACCCGCCCATGATTTTATTTACCACTTCCGTCCGTGCCTCTTTCCCGCACTGCGCACTTGTCGCAGTTTTGGTGAGCCCACAAGCTCTATCCCCGAGTAGCCAAAATGAGTAAAAAACAAACGTCGCTGGAGAGCTTCTTTGAAACGGGCGAAAGACCCAATGATGACCAAACCCCCGGTCCGTGAAAAAATTGTCTTCCACGAAACCGGTCCCTGGTGCCAAAAAGGTTGGGGACCGCTGCTGTATATAATACATTTTTATTATGGAATCCCCTATGTTGATCCCCTCTGATGTTAAGCACACTAGACATGCAATTCAGAGGTCACGATATTGACGATCTCCTGGTGCAGCAGATGAAATAATGGGCTAGTTTCTTACATATCCCTGCTTCAGGTTCACCCAGCAATATAGTCAATGGGCGTTTTGCTTGTGGTCAGATAAAGTGTGAGTTCTCGCACCTCTTTCAAAAATATCTGGAAAGCCGGGAAGGGTAGACCAAAATAACCTCGAGAGAAGGTTCTCTCAGGCTCTCTCGAGTTCCCTACGTCGGAGACTCTTCTGCTAACAGTGGCATGAGCAAGGGCTGTCCCTTTACCTTTCAATAACGGAATCCACTAAAGTATTAAAGTTAATTTGTATTTAGAAAAGTTGACAAACAATTAGCCTTTTCGCATAGTCATGCCGTGATTTAATAAAGCCTTGGTGTTCTTACAGCTCACGGTGAATGTTTACCTTGTATGGTGCACAATTTCCAGTGAAAATGTCTACTTTCTATATTTTTTGCTGTAAATGTAATGGAGCCGTTTCTCTATTACATTCCAGGAGACGGAGTGTCTGGATATCACCAGCATCAGGGATACGCGCACAGGAAAATCCGCACGGACTCCAAAGGTAAGATGTGCTAAATTCAAGGGCAGATAACTGCCCTTGTCCTCACTTCTCATGCCTTCTCCCCAGCCCACAAGAAGCAAAATGGTATGCTGACAACCAGAGCTTAATTCCCCCTGGAACATTCTGGAAGACTATTCCGGAATTATTTTAGCACGCCATATCCATCTCATCGGATTATAGAAATACAGGGTACAATAATATAGGATATTATATTCCAATAATGTAGGATATTAATATAGGATATTATTGTATGGATCGGTGTACCTTACACTGTGGTGGTAATGCCTTATGTCGATAATTCATACTCCAAGGCAGCCGAGCAGTGATCCAGAAAATATCGAGTGACATTAATCCCTGCTGACCATAATTTGTGGTCAAAAAATATAGATTCCAATATTTATTTACTTATACAGTATATGAAATGTTTGCCTATTTATTTTCTTCAGTTTTTATTTTTTACTTTTTGGACAATTCATACACTCAACCAATTCAATTGCTTTCATTGAGAAGCAAGTTGTAGCACATTGAGATGAAGGTTACTTGTAAGGTAGACCTGGGGGAAAATGCAGAGAGACAACATTCACAGTACACAAATGTATTGCAGAAAACAAAACACAAATGTCAATAAAACAAAGTGAGCACGCGTACATCTAAAGAGTAATAAGGTTTCTGTCAAGATTAACACCTTGTTTTCTAGGAATTGTGACATAAATGTGATACGTTCTTAATTTTTTCTTAATTTGTGCCCAAATTAAGTTGTGCCCATGTTGTTCTGCATGGGATGAGATCGGAACAGACCAGGTCACAATAACTCGCTGAAACAGCATCCTCATGTCATGTGCTGCATATATGCCTTATCACAGCTTTAGCAATATTGACTTATTACAGGTCAACAATCTAGCTATATTTAAAGATTCTCTTTTCACCACTAACTAATTTGCAAGTACTCCTTAATGATAGCAATTACGAACACAGAATGTATACATACATTACATGTACTCGCACAATTACACAATACAGGCTTAAATTTGATATTTTCTTATATATATTTAATATGTTTGCCATTACATCGACATCATTAAAAGAATACAACACGATTTTTATTATACATTTTTCATGGGAATTATTACAATGTACTGATATTTGTAGACACACAATGCTTTCAGTGTTGAATTTTTATCGAAGGAATGCCAAGGAACGTTTTTTTTCTCTGGTTTTAAACGTGCTTGAAAATGTGTACCTTTTATTTACTTTGCGTGATTGACTCAGACCTGGACGTATAGGAGGAGGCAGTGCACATTCCTCTTTACCGTCGTTCAATTCATTATTATTTGGGTAAAGCCACGTGGCAACATTGCCCCCTTCCAACAGGCTAATGCCCACTTGCTGCGTTCACCTTGTTCCGCATAGGGACAGCTGCCGTTCAGGGGGGTCCCATCGGTTAAAAAAAAATCCTGCCCTGAAATATTGACGACGTTCTGAGCACGTCATAAATGCCAGTGTGCCGTTATTTGCTGTTCTAAGTTTAGTGTCTAAAATAGGATTATGAAGACACGTATCGCCCATCTTTATCACATGTTGCTGTAAATGTTCGCCTGTATGTAACATTAAAACACTATAGCGGGTGACAGTTTTATAATGCAATTGCATTCCTGTGTTTAAAAATACCTTCTGCTTCAACAGTTAATCATGAAGACAACTCTCTTTTTAAGTCACTCCAATTATTAATAGCAAAGACCGAAAAGAGAAATGGTGCTCTTTGCATTTAATGTTAACATATCTTACACACGCTGGATAATGTGGCCACATCTGCTAAGAAGGAAGAGGTTACAAGGTTCCAAGCAGTTAATAATCGGACCTGTACACCAGCTGGAATGACTCCAAATCACAGCCAACTTTATATTCTTTCTTTGACCAAAACGTAATGTTTACCCTGACCATAATAACATTCCTCTAAGACTTTGCATAAACTGTATGGATGTGTTGGATTTAAGCATATCTTGCCAGAATGTGAATAGTCTCAATACTGTAAACAGTAACATTGTGAAACATATTTTAAACAGTTTGTTTTTATTTCGTGCTTTTTTATATTTAAAGGAATTAGTTTTTAGTTAAGTACATTTTCATGGAACAAAAATATATTTATTTGGTGTCTACCAGTAAAATGTATATTGAACGTGCACTCTGAACCTTGTGATTACTATATAAATACTATTTGATTTAAAGCTTTCGTGACTGCAGGGATTCATATTCTTGGTTCTTTCGGTAAAGTCACGTAGAAGGGAAATCATAAAATAATACAAATATAAAACAATAAAATTCTTTATTTGTATTTTTATTATTTTATTTCCCTTCTACGTGACTTTACCGAAAAAAACAAGAATATATAAATGCTATCATCATCAGTCACGTTCTATCCACTCCTGGATGATGGCCTCCCTCTGACTGCACGATCCCATCGTCATCTACATATATGCTACTCATAGTTGCTCCATCTCTGGGGCCCATTGTCCATCAACCCTTTCTTGCAATGTATCTTGCCCAAGCCAACATTTCCTAACAGTGAAAGCGATATCTCAAACTTGCAGTTATTATCAGATGCATGTGTTGCGTTTTCTGTCTCTCAGTGTAGTTTCCAGTAGCTGTCTCTCCCTAATTTTTCTAGACTTTCAGATTTTGTTCAATGTAGCCAATCCACGTGTGTAGTTTGTTGTCCTTCCCCCACACCTCCGATTGGCACAGTTGACTACGTACGGTGCGAAATAAGTTCAACATGCATGCATATATACATATCAGGTGATAGTCACTGATTGAAAACTCTCCGTGTTGGGCACATTGGTTTGTTGTTTTCATTAAGAAAAATTTCCAGAAGCACTTTCAACTGCTCTCTCATACTCAATTAAATACATTTTCATACAATGGTCAAGCGGGATGGTATGTGATAATCACTTGTCTTTGGTGAGAATCATAATGATGATATGTAATTGTTCAATTGTAGAAAAAGTATTTACTAAATCTAGCATGTTAGCAGGGTCTATTGTTCGTTTCTCTGATAAGAGGCGAATGCATCTACTGGGATTCTTCCCAAAAGTTGTGTCTACTGTGTTTATTTTAAAGGCGTTTAGGAAACATTCCAAGATTAAATTAATTGATTCCTGTGTTCATTTGTAACACACGCAGATGATAAACAAATAAAAATGACACATGCACTCAGAGAGGAAAATAAAAATGAGTGTGATACAGAAATAGAAGCATCACTTTGTGTATCTGCACAGTAGTTGTGTCGTTATTGTTGTTTTTCCAAAAAGGCAATGTTCCAGTTTACAGTAGTATCCACAGGTATTATACAACATATCACCTAGCAACTACTCTAGGGGGCTTCAATTTCTGTGGTGTTCCGTAGGTGACAGTTTTAAACTGTGAGCTATTTTGTAAAATGTAGCCTATTTTTGCAAATAAAAAAATATAAATTGCAAAAAAGAGATTTAATATTTTCACATAATAAGCACAATACCATGTTGGTTCCTTCACAGAAGAACTCGTAATACTACCATTATGTATAAGAAACCCAATATATTAATTTGCTTCGTGATTAATTGTAAATTATGGTTTTAATGACGTCCATTTCACTCGGCATTAGTTGCAGTGTTTAAGGTGGCGCTAAAACCCTTAACAGGGGGGGCCCAGGGTGAGAAAAGGGCTCCCATCTCCCACCCCGTATTGCCATACGCAAGAATAAATAGAAACATAATATTGGCGTAATGCTTCATTTTCACGTGAAACCGACAGCACATTTACATCGGAGCCTTTGCACGAGTAACACAATTAACGCATAAAATGAGGGTGATCTTTGCACGAGGTTTTATTCACGGCATTGCCATACCGGCACAACGTCTCGTAAGCACCTTCAGCCCCAATCCCACACAGGTCACGGGGAGCGCGAGCAGCAGCGTGAAATGTGCGGTGTGCGTGCTATAATAATAGCCAACGGCTTGGGGAATTGTCCTCCAGGTGCGACAGCAGCCGCCAAGGATTCCGCGCACTTGCCTCGCCGACGATGTCCGTAAACGAGATGAAATTGCATATCCTAATGCACGGTATTTGTTTTTCCAAACAACGCTGTTTATAAAATGCAAGGCTTTATATGGCATCATATTCTTCACCGATCAGACCAGGCGCGATCAATCAACTTGCCTTCCTGAGCTGTCGGCATCTCTCACCATCCTGCGTGGTAAACTATTAAACTACTACTATTTTTATTTGACCAACTAAGGCCCATTGAGCTATATAGCTCTTTTTCAGAAGCGACCTGGCCACAAATGATAGCTCAATGAAGTGGCTTATCATGTGGAAATGTATAGCAGCCAAATACTCTAAACGCATGTTTCTAAATCTCGAGGGAAAACCAGAGACCCGGAGAAAAAAATCCACGTGACCCCAGGGAGAACGTGCAAACTCCAAATATACCAGGGTCAGGGTCAGGAGCGAACCCAGGGTCAGGGTCAGGATCGAACCCAGGGTCAGGGTCAGGATCGAACCCAGTGTCAGGATCTAGTTTAGACATCTCTCCACGACCTGCCAAATGACTAACTGGGAGTGCACCCATTAGTAATCCTGCATAGACAGAGGGGTGGGGATTTAGGAATCTTGCCACATTTGAACTGCTGTGCCAGGAGATCGAACCGGTGACCTCTACATTGCAAGCCCAGTGTGTTTATCATTACACTGTGGCAGAATCCTGTGCGTACTTTACGTAGCTTTTCAATAGTATTAAATAGCAGACATGCAATTACGTAAACATGCATGGTATAGGTTTAATGGCTGATTAGTGGCATAAAGAATATAGATAATTATTATTGAGGAAATCCACCAACTATTCCAAAAGGTGGAGGTTTGTATTGTTTGTTGTTTTACGATGAATACCTCACAATAATTTTTTATATTTCTCTCAAGTAAAATTTTTTTTGCTATTGAATTCCTGCAGTATTTAATAAATTGGC